CACCCACCACCGAGGAGCCATGAAGTGCTTATAAAAAAAAGAAAATCTGAGGAGGTGGGGGTAAGTGGTCAGTTGTCCCAAGTGGGGTCTTTTTGGGATGTTGTTTTATTATTATACAGAATTTATATAGCACCAACAATTTGTGCAGCGCTTTACAATATAAGGAAGACATTACAATCACAATACAATTCAAGACAAGATGGTAAGGAGGGCCCCGCCCCTGAGGGCTTACAATCTAAAAGGGAGGGGCAAATCAGAGTTTCAACCATTGCACCCTGTAAAGAAAGGCTTTTTGAACAGAGCAGTTAGACTTTTTCAGGTAGGTATGCGAAAGGAAACCAGAACCTCTAGCTCAGGGCTAGGCACTCCAGCTATTGTGGAACTACAAGCCCTGGTAGGCATTGCAAGACTCTTAAAGCCATGGGCGTGACCTCCAGAAGCAAGTGCATGTTGGGATTTACAGTTTCCCCGCAGCTGGATTGCCAAGGTTGCCTAACCCTGCTCTAGCTGCTGTCTGGGAATCCTAAATATGAAAGATTCAATTGCAGCATTGAAAGTATACCTGAATATTACAAATATTTATTCTAATTTTTGTAACTAAAATTAGAATATCCTTTTAGTCCTTAACATTTCAATGAAAATATGCTATATATACATTAGGAATTCATGCTCATTTAGTCAAACGTTGTGAGCTCAGTTATAATTGATGTTGGATAGGAAGCCCTGGCTCACAGTGGTCAATCCAATTTACCCCAAAGGTGTTCTGTAGGATTGAGGTCAGGGCTGTGTACATTCCACTCACATTCCTCTATAGCAAACTCATCCAACCATGTCTTTATGGAGCTGTGCTTTGTGCACACAGTCTGAAATGCACAATTGTCTGAAATGCCTTTGTATGCGTTAGCATTATTCGTTCCCTTCAGTGGAAAAACCTGAACCCAATATTTTTTTTTAGAGGAGACCACATACCTTTAGTCATATACTTGGTGTAATGGCCAGGTGTTCACTAACTGTTGGTCCCCAATTAACTCCTTTGGGATTAAAGTCTTCTCATCCAACATCCACTAGGGAAGTCAGAAAGGGAAAAAGATCCGGGGGTCAATGTAGACCACAGATTGAATAATAGCACGCAATGCTAGGCTGCTGTAAACAAAGCGAGCAGAGTTCTGTCTTGTATTAAAAAGGGAATGTACTGTAGAGACAAGTCTATCATTTTGCCACTTTATAGATCGCTGGTTCGGCCTCATCTGGAGTATGCGGTCCAGTTTTGGTCATCAATCCACAGAAAGGATGTCCTTGAGCTGGAGAGGGTCCAGAGAAGGGCAACCAAACTAATTAAGGGGATGGAGGACCAAAGCTATGAGACAAGGTTACTAAATTTGAACATGTTCACGCTGGAAGTAAGGAGATTAAGGGGGCTATATGATTTTGATGTACAAAATGTTTAATGGTGATAGCAACATCAGCAATGAACTTTTTACAGTAAACTCCACAACAAGGACTAGAGGCCACCTCCTAAAATGGGTGGAGAAAAGATTCCAGCACACGGGACGTAGGGGGTACTTCTAAGTTAGGGTGGCTATGGTCTGGAACTCGCTGCCATAAGCATTTCATTCAGCTGAGAGTGTTGAATCTCTTAAAAAGCATTTGGACGATTTCCTCAGAGACCATAACATACAGGGGTACAGGTACACTTAAGAGCAAGATTACACATGGACTCATACACACGCATACATATGCAAAAACACATGCAATGGGTTGAACTTGATGGACCTGTGTCTTTATTCAACGTCCAATACTATGTAATTATGTACCTATGTAACATCACAACCTGACCTGACAAATGCTCTTATGGCTGAATGGGCACGAATTCCCACAGACACACATTTTATGGAAAGCCTTCCCAGAACAGTGTCACGTCCGTGCCGCCACTAGGACCGGCGGTAGGGTCCGACGTCCTTCTGCGCAGGCGCACCGCAGATCTCGGGCTGCACTGTCTAGGAGAGACAGCAACAGGGGCAGGCGCGTCACAGGGCTCCTCCTCCCTTCACACGAGCCGCCGGCTTAAAGGCTACAGTTGGACTCGGACTATTGCCAGAAAACCTGACATCGACCCTCTTGCAAGTCAATATGGAGGCTATTCCCTGGCACTACCATGAATTAACAGAGGACACTGTTATAGACACAAAGTGGGGCAAATTCCTTATTAATGCCAATTGATTGGGAATGGGATGTCCAAGCTCATATACGGCAGGTGTGATAAACTTTTGGCCATATACCCTGCCTGGCCAAAAAAAAGTAATCACCTGGATTTCTAGCAGTCCTATGATCTGGGGTTGCTTCAGTTGGCCAGATCTAGGTTCAGCAACGTTATGTCCCCAAAAAATGAGGTCAGCTGCCTATCTGAATATACTGAATGACCAGGTTTTTCCACCAATGGATTTTTTTCTTCACTGATCATTCGGCATATTCCAAGATGTCAATGTCACGTGTCATTGAGCTGAGTGGTTCAGGGAGCATGAGACATAATTTTCACACATGGATTGGCCACCACAGAGTCCAGACGTTAGCCCCATTGAGAATTTTTGGGATGTGCTGGAGAAGACTTTACACAGTGCTCCGACTCTTCCATCATCACTTCAAGATCTTGGTGAAGATTAATGCAACTCTGGATGGAAATAAATGTTGTGACATTGCATAAGCTTATTGAAACAATGCCAAGGGAATGCATGCTGTAGTCAAAGCTAAAGGTAATCCAATGAAAGATCAGGTTGCATGACTTATTTTGGGTCAGGCAGTGTATAACCAGCTCCAAAAAGACGTGTTGATGAGTTTGATGTGGAAGAACTTAAGTTGCCTACAAAGAGCTCTGACCTCAATGGACACCTTTGGGATAAATTGAAATGCCAATTATGAGGTCTTCTTGTTCACCATCAGAACTTGACCTTAAAAAATATATTTTGGCTGGAGCACAACTTTTGGCAGGTTCACTCCAAAATTCTGTGGAGATCTTTTGCAGAGAAGTGGAAACAGTTAGGGGAGGGGAGGTGTTGCTTCATATTAAAGCCCATGGTTTTGGAATGGGATGTCCAACAAGCTCACATAGGTGTGTGGGTCAGGTGTTAACAAACTGTTGGCCATATATTGTATAAATGAATGATTATGGTGTTTTAATATTCAACTAAAGATCAGATGTAAGTGAAAGAGAACAATCAAAATATACAACATTAGGGGTCAACTCTGTAGTGTGATTATCCACTGGGGAAAGAAACTTCACTGATACTGTATGTGAACTTCCTCCTTTAGCTCTAACATCTATATGCATTATATATAACTTTCCCTTGTATGACAAGCCATGAGAATAGCAGTCACTGGTTATTAATTTATGCACTCTGTGGGAGACAAATCTCGATGTTCCTGTTATTCAAAAGATGTGGCACGTCCCTCCAGAACATCTACAAGATCTTCTTAAGAATTGTTTGATAACGGCCCCGGATAAGACTAAAGTAAACCTGCTGTGAGAGAAATACACGGGCTACTGGTGCTGATGTGCTTCTGAAAATGCTAATGTGCCTAGCATTTGTGCTCATCGACTGTTCATTCTTTACGGAGTCACTGACCCGCAACAAGTATGCAAATCAGAATTTCCAGAGATAAGTCAGATGCCCTTATCTCCATATTTATTCCAAATCAGAGTTTTTGAGGTTAAGATAAGAGCTGGGTGACCAGGATTTTCAGCATTTATGAGAACCTCCATATTTATTTTTTGCCAGATTTATTTAAATCAAGCTTGTACATTAAATAGAAAGCTATAATAATAAAAAAAACCTGTCCACTTAAAGTCCAACTGTGGCACCTGCCCCTTCACTTTGAGCCCCCCAACACTATTTCTTGCTGATGTCTCCATCCATACTGCAATGCTTACAGCTCCCTCACGTGTCCTGTAGAGGTGCCTGGACCGGAGTGACGTCACATTCTGGCTCCCGACACTTCTACATGGCACACAAGGGAGCTGTATAAGCAATGCACATATAGATGGAGCTCCGTCACAGCACAGGAGCCCACACTGGACCCCAGGCTGGGGATCCACTTCAGTTCTCGTAAGGTAGAGAGACTGGGTGGATAAAATAATAAAAAAAAAAAAGTGTGTGTGTGTCAGCAGTTTTTGGCTGTGTTCATGAATGTCAGCCCATGCTCAGCCTGTCAACCAGATCAGCCCCCCTTGTGACTTGCTACAAAGTGATAGCCTGATCACTGCGGGACAGGAGATTGAGGAAATGCTTCTTCCTGCCTGCAGCAGACTTATCTCAACCTAGGCACTCCACTGGAGTTTAAGGATGGCTTTTTTTCTAAAAAAAAAACAAAAAAAAACTGGTAGCCAGACCTCATTATTAGTCTCAGCTGTACATGGACCTTTATATCAAGTTGGCTGATGCGCAGAGCTCTCTCTCACTCTCTTGCTGCTGCGTGAAAAGGCTGAGTGCTTTCAGAACACTAAAAAGGTGCAAGTGTTACCTGTTTGTTGTTGGAAACCCAGGGGTACCCTGTTACTT